CCGTCTAGACGAAACTCGCAGGTGGGACACCACCAACGAAACCACCTGATCACCATACAAGTGGTGATACACCCGCGTCAAAAAGACAAGACGCAAGACACCGAGAAGATCGAACCAGCTACGAACCTGACTGGACTGATCTGCTGAAAGAGGCGGAGCCGCGGCAAGACCCTCGGGTTCGGACATCGAGCAAGAAGTGCCTGAAACCAGGGCTGAGCCGGCCACCAAGGAGCCAACAGGACTACTCTCCCCTGGTAAGTCTCCAACCGAGCCAGGATCCGGAACAACAACCGGACCGGTGGGAAGAGGTACAGGTAGCTCCACCTCGACCAGTCCAGCCGAAAGGCATCAACGCTGACGGCCTCGCAGTCTGGGAAAGGCGCCACAAACTGGAAGATGCCTCGACCACGCCGATGCGAAGTGATCCACCTCTGGGCGCCCGTACATCCGGCAGAGCCAACAGAATGAATGATTTGGCGTCGACCGTCCATTCCATGGAAAGGGGAATGAACCGAGACAGGCCATCCGCCAAGACGTTTGACACCCCCTGAACATGAGCCGCCACGAGAGCCAAACCCCGAGAACTCAGCAGCCGAGTCACCCAAATCGACCAGCCCCAAAGAACCAAGGACAGCATCGAACCCCCTCGGTTCAGGCAATGAATCACCAGGGAGCAGTTCGAATGGAGCCAGATCGTTGCTCCTCAAGCGACATAAATCCTCTGAAACGAATTCCACATGCCACAAACTCCTGCGCCGTGCTGTGAGCTTGATGGAAGGACGGATCCCACCGACCCTGGCCGGCCTGGTGAGCACTTGTCACAAAACCCCAGCCGAAAGACGAGACATCCATGAACACATTGAGCGAGGCTTGGGGAGGCGCCACGGCACAGAACCCAAAAAAACCTGCAGAGGAAGCCGGCGATGCAGCAGTTGACGCAAGGCTTCATACTGGACGAAACAAGTCCAGTATGAACCGCAGATCCGCACAGTCCCATTTCGGAACTGAAAGCAGGTGGGAAACCCACCTGAGGGACGTTGTCATTTCGACCACACCCAAGCGAACCCACTCCCGGATGACCTGACAGAGCACAGGAGAAGAGGCCTGCCATGCCAGCCCCGATCTCCCAAAAGGAGGAGCGACCCAACGTCACCGCAGGCCGGAAGAAACAACCCGAAATGCCAACAAACTGTGGAATCAGGCGAGAGCAAACAGCGTGAGCCTCCCCCCTATCACCCCGTCAACGGGGCAACCCGTGAAAGGGCCGACGTCCCCTACGAGAGCCCAACTGACGCTCAGAGCGATCACTGCGCCAACCAGACACTGATGGCTCCAGAGGTGCCGGCCCCGAATCTGACACTACTGGCTTATGACGACCGAAGGTACCCTGAGACCTAACACGACCCTTCCGGGTAGGACCACCACCGCACTGCAGCACTGCTCAAAGCATGGAGCCAGTCGATCAACCATTCGCCCTCACAATATCCTGTGAACTGAGGAGAGTTGCCGGAGTGGAGGTCTGGGACCCCCCGGTCCCCCTCCCGAGGAGGGGGGGGGGGAGAGTTGCGCAGATCGATGCGTGGCATTTGTGGTGACGTCATACTTGTTTCTTTGGTTTTGATTGGGGAGTTCTGTTGCTTGTTCGGCTTTTGGTTTGCAATTTTTTTGGGATCAGCAGTAGTTTGTTTTGAAATTCCTACCCTTATGGGTGCCCGACCTGGTAGATGGCAGACAAAGACTGCTTCCAATTACATGGGGGTGTCTTTAGGCCACTGCTCCTCGTGCCTCTCTTGAGAGGGCCTGGTTCTGGCTCTGGTCCCCGGTAGGCCTAGAACTCCTTCGATTGACTGTTGCCACGGTCTAATATATATACACATCAACCCGGTATAGCTCCGGGAAGCCAAAGGGGCTCTCCACAGAAAAGTAGAAAAACAATTAAATTCTTTACAAAGAATGGAAGTGTGGTCGTCACTAGGCGAGAGATACTGGTAAACTGAAGCGTACCACACTCTTGGTCGACGCATACATTTATCAACAAAGTCGCAAGTCAAGGCATAATCATAAGTCGAGTCAAATTTTCCGATGAAATTCAAGTTGTAACTCAAAAAATTCGTAAGTAGTATGTAAGTGGAAGTTCCACTGTAACTCTTATTATAAATTTTTAGCTTTTTCGTCTAATTCTAACCAAATAGTTTGTGTGGCTCAGTTTTGGTTTCACCGAGACAATATTTCAAATTTTCCCCGACATGACTACTCCCCACTCTTCATTTAATGTATACAGTACCTATATGAAATAATTTAAATCCGTTTATTTGATATTCCGCTAATAGTTATGTTTTCTATATTTATCCATGTTTTTGTAAGTGCAATAATATCTATTGTTTCTGTGCAGACAAGAACATTTAAATCGTTTATTTTGTTTCTTACAGACTCTTACTGTTCAAGTAATATACCTTAAGTGTATTGCTATTTTGAGGCTCTCCTTCCCTGTTTCTTTTACCAATTACTTTCCCCCACCAACTCATACTTTTAATGCTTCCTCTCCTCATGAATATTCATTCCCATATCACTAGTTACTGACAGTTTAAACCCAAACCCCTCAAACCACATATTCCAGTGAGTTGCAAACACCAACCCCAGCCCAAGATAAATGAACAGCATCGCGAGCATATATGTCATTCCTTCCATAGAATTGGCCTCAGTTATCAATGAATGATATTGGATCTGATTTACAATATTTGTCCAGCTGACAATTGACACCAAGTGCCCTCGACATTCATTCATTTCAAACTTGCTTTCTCGGAAGAATGCCACTGTATAAATATCAAAGTTCAACAGCTGTTCAACATCCTCCCAGCGAGCATAAGAAATATTGCTGGAATAAACGTGGACACCTTCAAAAAGTGCTGAACTAACCGGGCTGTGATGGGTATGTGAGCCTGTGGGCCGCTTCAAGCAACAGCCTGTTGAACCAAGCTCTCCCAAGTCAAGCCTGGGCCCCAGAGCCAGGCTTGGGGAGAACACGAACACTCAGAACCCCATCCAGGTACAACAGGTTCATGCTCCAGGGATAAGTAATACATTTTTGAAGTAGACATTTCATAACATGGGGCCAAACACTTCCTTGTTTTACACTGGCACCTATTGAGTGACTTCCAGATATAGTATAAAAATGACCAGCGTTGAATGTAATGAGACCTCATTTTCTTGGTGAGACCCGGAGGCTCCCCGGAGCTATCCAGGCTGATATGTAACTACTGCATTAGCTTTCTGGCATTGGTCAAAGTGCATGGCGTTTTTGCTTACCTGGGACCACGACCCAGAACCTGACCCCCTCCGAGAGGCACAAGGAGCAATGGCCTAAAGAAATCCCCGTGTGGTTGGGAGCATTCCATGTCTGCCATCGACCTGGTTTGGCACCCAGAAAGATAGGCGCCCCAAAACAAACCCCTATTCTGATGAAAATATTGCTACCGAAAGCCGAATGAGTGGATAGAACTCCCCAACGAAAACTAGCAAACGAGCATGACGTCATCATGTTGCCGCGCCGCTGTCTGTGCAACCCCCCTCCCTCCCTGGGAGGGGGAAGGGCGAGCCCCAGACCCTTGTGCCGGCGATCCAACCGGCAGTTCTTAGGCTGGATGTCAAAAACGTGAAAACACCACCGACCGGAGGAAGGGAGGGATGCAAGGGAGCCTCCAGGTCTCACCCTGAAAATAGTGTGTCATTACGTTCAACGCTGGTTTTCTGGGGGGGAGCCCCGTTGGCTCCCTGGAGCTAACTACCCAAAGACAAGGAAAACACAGGGACTTATCCGGGAGGTGGTCAGTCCTCACTCCTCAACGCGAAGTTGAGACACATCAGAGGTAGGACCCAAGGTGACTTGTGGAAAGTGGCCCCAAAGGCAGTACTTACAGGCCACCTAGGGAAGGAAACCCTAGGCGCATGCAGACTGAGTACAGTAGAATATTACTCCTGGCTCACACGCCACCTGTAGAGACAGACCATGCCACAAGGCACAGTAACAGAATTCAAAACTGGAACCAGACACACCTGACCAGCCAGTATCACATCAGCCAAGAACTGCCGGTTGGATGGCCAGCGCGGGGGCTCCCCTCCTCCCCCGGGTAAGGGGGGGGGTTGTGCAGACAGCGGCACAGCAACGTGATGACGTTATGCTCGTTTGTTAACTTTCGTTGTGGAGTTCTGTCTACTTGTTTGACTTTCATTAGCGATATCTTCACCAGAACAGGGGATTGTTTTGGGGCGCCTATCTTTCTGGGTGCTAGACCTGGTCGATGGCAGACAACAAATGCTCCCAACCACATGGAGGTTTCTATAGGCCATTGCTCCTTGTGCCTCTCTGAGGGGGCCAGGTTCTGGCTCGTGGTCCTCGGTAGGCAAGAACTTCATGCACTTTGATGCCAGAAAGCTAATAGTTTTATATCAGACTGGATAGCTCTGGGGAGCCGACGGGGTTCTCCCCACAAAATCTGTCATTTGGGTTACACTTCTCAATAATAAAAAGAAACATTAATATCATTACTGGGACCGGTTTTAATTTTTCTACTCTACAGGCTGGCCTGGGGCCTGCACCCCCATGGTGTTTATCTTCATTGGCCCACACGCCCATCACAACCAGGCATACAAGGTAACTAATGACCAAAAAGTGAGATCCGTGAAGTCAACATGACTAGGTTCTCAAAACGTTGTAAGGGGGATATAATGGCTAAGTGCTTTTTTTCTGATAATTACCATCCCTTACCTTACACTGTTCAATTTCAATAGCAGCCAATTTTTAATGGTTAATGCTGAAATATTTTCAGATTCAACTTAATATGACTTGAGGCATTAAATAGGACTATGTCAGTAGAGGAGAAACAAAAATGTGAAACCAGGAAAGTATCCCTACTAAGGATACCTGTATAGGAGAAAATTTAAGTTGCAAATAGGAAGCTAAATAGCACATATATTAAAACATGAACACTACATAAACATACTGCTTGTATATCCTGATTTTGGCTGGAACTGCTGATATAAATCCTACTAATCTATTGCTCTTAGACACACGAACGCCAACGTGCCACTCGGGTTTCCATCCTGGAGGCATGAGAGCCCACCGCAGAAACTCTCTGCTGTAGTCAAACCTGCCGAGACACACAACATTAATTAAATTAGGGACCAGTAACAAATGAAATAACTGCACTTCAAAAGTTATATAATCTTAAAACACTGCTCTACTGTATTATGCCCTCTCAACCTGCCAGCATAGTTTAAAAAAATATATAATGAACATTTTGAATACAGGAATATAAATAGATAAAATATGATACAAAATAAATTTTTTGCTTCTTTAATTAAGATGAGTTACAGAGTATGGTTTTGTTCAGAAGAACAAGTGTTCTATCAAATATCCAACAACTAAATATTTGTTAAACTAAGTATTTGTCACAGACAATAGGACATAATGTGCCAGAAATTAAAAACATATCAATGGTTTTCTTAGAACATTTTGCCCTTAAAAGAAAGGCAGACGACGCCTCACTCAACACCCCATCATCCTCCAAAAGCCAATCCAAAGAGCTACAGAAGAATGAAAAGACGCAAGAACGATGCTAAATGAACTGGAGTTTGGAGGTTCTCATCCACCAAAGCAGCCAAAAGAGTGGGAACCTGAGCCAGCAAGTGCACCAGGCCCACATCACGAGGAAGAGCAGGAGCAAAGAGCACTCATTGAGGGACTAGAGCGAGCCCCCCAAGAATACCTGCAACACAGAATAAACCTCCCGCCACTCAAGGGCACAGGTACTACAAAAGCCACGCCAAGCTCTGAGAGAGAAAAGGGGGCAGGCTGCCAGCCAGGAAGACTCCGGAACCTCATAACGCACCCAATATAGGGAAGAACCGAACTCAAAAGAAGCCGCAGCCATCACAGAGGCGTAACAGGGTGGGTTTCGCTGGAAGTACACACCAAGGGCTTCCCGTACCTCCCCAGGGAAAATCCAAGAAGGAGGAAATGTTTCCGGAAAGATGATTCAAAGGAACCCAAAGGCACTTGGAAACCAACCTCATAGGGGGGGGGGGGGGGGGGGGGGGGGAGCCTCTCCTAACTCGAATTCATAAAGGTAGGGAAGGTACGGAAAACCCTTTCTCTGCAGCAATATTCCCTGCCCCAAAGGCACAAGGACCCAAGCAGGGTCAAAAGGAGCCTAAGCACTCAAAGCGGACTCCACCCAAGCCCCAAGAACCTCCAACACAGGTCTTCAGGCAGAGCTCTCTTCCACGTCCACCCCCCCCCCCCCTGAAGAAAAGGCAGAGTTCAAGGGAAAGGCTTCTGAGAAAGCAAGCAACTGGGATGAATCAGAAGCCATGGCATGAAGAACGGGCTCAACCACCTCCGCACCATACAAATACACAAATACATGGATGGCGATATACTAAAGAAATTGTTCATGACTTTTGTTAGGCCAAAGCTAGAATATGCAGCTGTTGTGTGGTGCCCATATCTTAAGAAGCACATCAACAAACTGGAAAAGGTGCAAAGACATGCTACTAAGTGGCTCCCAGAACTGAAGGGCAAGAGCTACGAGGAGAGGTTAGAAGCATTAAATATGCCAAAACTAGAAGACAGAAGAAAAAGAGGTGATATGATCACTACGTACAAAATAGTAACAGGAATTGATAAAATCGACAGGGAAGACTTCCTGAGACCTGGAACTTCAAGAACAAGAGGCCATAGATTTAAACTAGCTAAACACAGATGCCGAAGAAATATAAGAAAATTCACCTTCGCAAATAGAGTGGTAGACGGTTGGAACAAGTTAAGTGAGAAGGTGGTGGAGGCCAAGACCGTCAGTAGTTTCAAAGCGTTATATGACAAAGAGTGCTGGGAAGACGGGACACCACGAGCGTAGCTCTCATCCTGTAACTACACTTAGGTAATTACACTTAGGTAATTACCCGAATTATAGGAGGCAGCTCACTTAGCCACCCGAGCCTCATCCCAATCTAAACCCTGCCCTGACTCCAAAACCCCTCAGACATTTGGGAACTGGAAGCAGGTGGGGAAGAGGCAGGGCAAACAACGCCCACCTGGGAAGGAAGAGGCGAAGACAGAATAACACTTTCGTATAGTCAATATTGCACACTGCGTTCTGAAAAAACCTTACTTACCGTATGTGCTTTCGGCGTTTCGCGCGATGCCTACGCTAAGGTAAGACCGAAAAAGTGTACACATATGCTACTTAACACTTTCGACTGTCCTGACACGTGGTAAGACCGAAAAAGTAATACACTCTTTTGAAGGCGCACGTATTTAAATTTGGTATCACTGTGTTCGCAATAAAATTGTCTATAAGAACATACCTATAAAATGCCGCCAAAGCATAAGGACTATCATCACCAAATAAAAAACTATTCAGATCACTCGCCGAGAGCGCCAAACAGCAACAAAATGTTTCCACTCTTAATGGTTGCGAAGCCTACAGTTGTCCTACATCGCTAATTGTGGTATCATTGGAATCGCAATAAAATTCTCTACACGGACATATGCATATAAATATAGATTCAATGTCGTAGCCCACCCAAAACAGTGTGGGAAGTGGCCGAAGTGTTACCCGCGGCCGCATATTGGCGAAACTCGCTTTGAAAAGTGTATATTCAATTCACTGTCCTGACATTATTTTTCGATGTATGTATTTCATTTTTGTTCCAATGTGTTCGCAATAGAATGTTCTATAAGAACATAAGTATTAAAGGTCACATAAGGATGCATTCGACCGGCAACATATATAAAAACTACGTCGATTATACTCGTGTCAATAATACAATTGTTTTAACACGATGATTCACTACCATGCCGTTCTCTTTAATAAGCTGTTCGGCTATTAGAAAAAACGTAAATTTCATGGCAAACATTTGTAAACTATTCCCAAGTTGATCGGATAATAAATGGAATTTATACAAATATTTTTTCGCCGGACTACACGCGTAGTCTGTTATGTGGAAACATAAGAAAATTTGGTGACGACCTAGAAATCATCAAATGCGTGAAAGTGTTAATAAGTCAATATTGACCGTAAGAAAGTGCGAGAACGGGTTGCGAAACGACCAATGTCCCCAAATCCTCAAGCCAATCATACGCAGACGAGGAATGGGTAAACAGAAGCACAACCGGTGAACACCTACGGGTCACCGACCCAACAGGCAGCATGGCTGGGACAGAAGGGATGATCGTCACCCTGAGGCAGGAGCGATGTACCGTTAACTTCGCACAGGGCAAGAGTGGACTAGGACAGAACCATGTTAAAGCCCATGGGGGTTTTCCAGGACCTGCAGGGTACGTCAGCCCAACAGCAATCCCAGGCATTGGGACCAGCTAAGCCAGTAGACCCCTTTGCGTGGAAGCAGGCAAATCGACCATCAGTAGCAGTGGTGAAACCTTGGGGGCAATGGAGGAGGAAAGCCACCACATCCTAGGCGTGGTTGTGGTAGCTTTATACCGAAGCGGAAGTGCCAGCCGCATGAAGGGTTGCTTGATTGGATTCTTTCTAAGGGAGTTGTTTTGATCTACTGGGATGTAGATCGCACAGATTAACCAGACAGTGGTCTGTTTTGATTTGCCTACCTTCCTGGGTCCTTCCCCAGTCGATGGCAATTATGACATTTTAAATGTAAAGTGCTCATAGGCCATTGCAACCTGCGCCTCTCTGAAGGGGCCAAGTTCTGGCTCGTGGTTCTCGATAGTCATAAGAACTCCTGTGACTGATGACCCTAACTAATAGCACATATCAGTTCGGATAGCTTCAGAGAGCAGACAGGGCTCCCCCACAGTAAAAACCTGAGACCCCACAACACCCAAGAAGCAGTCGGGGAGAAATATTGGCGCACCTTCTTCTTGAGGTTATCTTGAGATGATTTTGGGGCTTAAGAGTCCCCGCAGCCCAGTCCTTGACCAGGCCTCCACCCCCAGGAAGCAGCCCGTGACAGCTGACTAACTCCCAGGTACCTATTTACTGCTAGGTAACAGGGGCATCAGGGTGAAAGAAACTCTGCCCATTGTTTCTCGCTGGCACCCGGGATCGAATCCAGGACCACAGAATCACGCGTCCAGTGTTCTGTCCACTCAGCCACCGGCTCCCCTTAGTTAGCTGAAGAGCAGGCAATGCTTAGTAATGGTGCGCCCCACCAGCCAACTCCACTCCGCTACCCAGGGTAATACGGAAGACCTAAAGATCCCCCGACACACCCCAAGGCCATGGGGCCTGACAGCTGAGTGGACAGCACTTCGCATTCGTAGTCCTGAGGTTCCGGGTTCGATCCCTGGTGGAGGCGGAAACAAATGGCAGTGTCTTTCACCCTGTTGCCTCTGTTACCTAGCAGTAAATAGGTACCTGGGAGCTAGACAGCTGCTATGAGCTGCTTCCTGGGGAGGGGGGGGGGGGTTGTAACAAGATGGAGGCCTGGTCGAGGACCAGGCCGTGAGAATGCTAAGCCCCGAAATCATCTCAAGATAACCTCTCAAGAAGGGCAGAGATCACCACAAGCGAGGAACTCTTCAAACAGGGGAACGATTCCCGAATGCACCAGGGAAGATAACCCTGGTCACACAAGGGCAATACTTACTGAGCACCTAGGTGACCCTAGATGCATGCAGCTCCATTACACTAATCTGGCTACATGCACACCTCCATATATAAACACCACCGCAAGGGCGAACACACTAAAGAAAATGGGAACACGGAGCCAGAGCGACAGCAACCACTTGGCACAACACATCAGTCAAGAACTGGCTGGGGGCAGCCTGGCACACCCAAGCCAGCTCCTCCCTCACCACGCAGGGGTGGGAGGCAGAGCTAACAAGTGGGGGTTAGTTAGACAAATTTTTGCTTGTTTGTGCTCTTTGTGGGGGAGTTCTTTTAATACTTTAAGGGCGTAAGTCGCATTGTTCAACCAGAAAGTGATCCGTTTTGATTCGCCTACCTTTCTGGGTGCCTTTCCTGGTCGATGGCAAGATGACAAACTTTAAATGTTAAGTGTTACTGGGTCATTGCTCCCTGCATCTCTGAGGGGGCCAGGTTCTGGCTCATGGTCCCCGGCTGGCATACAAGAAGTCTTTGACTGATGACACTCAAGTAGTAAGGCACTT